CTCAATCAGATATTATTATTTTTTTATTACTTTGTTGTTTCAGCAACATTAAATTTAAAAACTGTACTTTTGAGTTAAAATATATATTTATAATTTTAATAAATAACAAACTAAAAAGGCATGAACATTTTTTTTGTATCGAAAAAATATCGAACCGTGACACCAAAGTATCGAACCGAACCGAACCATAAATTTTGTGTATTGTTGCACCCCTAATATACACATATTGCATACATTCATGGGTCATGTTTGCTATACTAAGTGCACAACTGTTTCCTCTGTGGCTCATTCCAACCATTTCCTCTCTGTTTTCAGCATTGCTGTATCTGATGTTTCAAGCACAAACATGTGCATCTTTTAAATGCCAAAGGCTTGGAAGGAATTTGTTGGTGTAAAGATTCTCCAAATTATAAAATTATATTCTATTATACACTTATTGTGTTTGGTGTATCCAACCAGTAATGTAAAAGTGGCAACGCCATGCGCCAAATGAGTGAATTTATTGAATTTTTGTAGCATCATTTTCCAGCGTTGCATAGTCCCGAAAAAGTCATCTCATAAGCGCATAAATTTTCCAAAGGAGAAAACAGCGAGAAGGGAGGTCTGATGTGCATACTACCTGACTATACACCTACATAGTCCACAAAAATAAACTAAACATGGAAACAAACTAATTAAAACATTAGGAAAAAGTAGTAGCTTAGTGTAATAAAACATGGCCTCAATAGCATTTCCCCCCTGTTACTCTATGGAAACTTTTTAGCTCCATACATTTACAAAGGTAAATAGGAGGCGTAATAAATATTTATCATCCAGGCGCAGCAATCAAATGCCAGGATGCCATAATGACAGGAAATGGAAACAAACCAAACTGCAGACGGGAGGTAAATTTGCTGATTCAGTGCAATTCAAATGGAGAACATTTTATAGTGTATAAAAAAGCATGAAAGATTAATTCTGTTTCATTGCGTTAAGGCAGAGCATACAGGTACAAGCGGATGATCTTTTGCTTTTATACTTTACTTTCAAATGATCACTTATACCACATCTACAAATACAGACCCAAAATGCAGCAGAACCACAGCTAAATGGCACCTTTACATGATGAATGATGATTATAAGATCTGCTCCAAACATCCATATGTCATTCAGACTCTGAAAATGGTAATTAAGGAAACTGGTTTCAGCTGTCTGACTTTCCTTGATTACTAACTGCTCAACAAAGAATTTAGAAATACCTCTGAAACAATATGCTGTGTGTGTCTGATCATTTGTAGTCTAGTATCGCTTTTGATAAATACAAATATTGCTCATATAATTCTCTTTTATTTTGATGCAGATGAAATTGCTATCTTAGTGCTTAAGGCCTGAACTGAACTTGTGTTGCTGCAGTAGTTTATATATAGCTGTTATGAACGGATTTCCCAGCCCAAACTCCTCTAATGTAACTGCGCTATGACATTAGTTTGACACTTGAAGATATTAAAGGCAGAAATATGTCCTTTACTTATATATTGATTTTTTATTATGTTGGACAGCTATTCGGTAAATGCGAAAGGTTTCATTCACTGCTGTTTAGTTAATGCCGGCTGGGTTTAGACTAAATCACAGGAACACTTTAAAGCTGCAGCTTTTACAGACACAGACCTTGGGTTTAAAAGACCATGTGATTTGGTTCCAGAAAGCACAGGCTTAAACCTGCCTTAACCTTAAACTGCAGCTCAGCTTATGACAGAGTAGCAGCCTCTAGGACTTTTGGCACAACAACACAGTCAAGCTTCTTTTCTGCCAGTCATTATACTGTCATGCAGCCCACTTACTGAAGAAGACTAAATCAATCCACAACTTTGCAAATACAATTTGACCCAGGCCTGATAAAACCAAAAGTGTTTTTTTAATAAATGTTGTTGTTGATATTGTTATTTATTAAACATTTACAAACATGCACTGTGTGCTTTCTGTAGTGTTCTGGGAAGCTTGCTGCTTCCTTCAGCAAAAAGGAAAGCCCTGACAGAAGTGAAAAAAAGAGAATTCCCATATGGCTTTGTTTTACCGCCATTCTTTTTTTTTTTTTTTTTGGCTTTGCTTTGTGTTTTTCTCTTGCTATCATTCTACAGTGCATATGAAACAAAACTGCAAAGACAAACACAGGCCAAAAATGATTGATAATACAATACCTTTCCAGTGATATTTCAGTGTTCTCAGCGAACACAAAATTATTCTCCAGGCAGTATCGATTGGGATTTTTGTAGGCTTGCAGCCTAATTTTGTGTCCCATCTGGTATCTGAGGTGTCTGATATGATTGAGCGAACATGGAACTAATGTAGAAATGCAAACAAAAACCAGACAAGGCTGTATTCCTGGAAACCTTGAGTTTTAAGATAAAGCAACAGGGCTCAGCTGCTAAAAAGAATGCAACACTTCCCCCTAGAGGTCAAGACGGAAACATGAAATATTTCCTAAAAATAATACTTTCACAAATAAAAACGTGACTCCTAACATGTTGGATTTGACAGATATTAGACTCCGCTCAGGCAATAAATTGTAGCTAGTTCCCCACGTTTCATACACTACCTCCACAAACTAAAAGCAGCACTGATGCTCACTTAAATGAACAAAATA